CGATTAGCATCCCTTGTGGCATGTTTGAAGGGCCCACACACATCCGTGTGTATAAGATCCAACAAACCTTCACCCCTCTCACAAGCCTGTGAAGGGTGACTTTGTCATTTTTCCAAGTAAGCATGATTCGCAACTATCATCTGACTTTAGGTCAAATGACTCCAATACTCCATCCTTTTGGAGTTGGCCTATGCGTTTCTTGCTTATATGTCCAAGACGACAATGCCATAATGATGCTTTATCCAAGTTATTATCATTAACAGAATCAATACACAATACATTATTTCCTAAGTTATCAACCACAGATACAGTTTCATACACACCATCACAAGGTAATGCTTTAAAATAAAGAACATTATTAAAGAAAGCATTAATCGAACCAACTTCATTATCAAATGAAAAGGTGAAACCTTGTTTATACAATGCATGAAAGGAAATAATATTTCTTGCCATTTCTGGCGAATAACAACATTTATTCAAATCTAAACTAAACCCACTACTTAGCGATAAAGTATAAACTCCAATCTTGGTGACAGGTAAAGCTTTCCTATTCCCCATGATTAAGTTTATTCTTCCATGCTCCACATTCTCACTTCTTCTTAGTCCCTGCAAATCAGAACAGATATGAATACCACAACCGGTATCAAGGACCCAAGAGTTAGAATGGGGTGAGTTATTAGATAAGATAGTGTAAATACCTGCATGGTTGGGTTTAACTTTCCCATCCTTCACATCTTGCTGGTACTTTGGGCAGTTCCACTTCCAATGTGACTTTTCATGGCAATAGAAGCATTCAGCCTCTTTAGGGTCAGAAGAAGGAGTGACGAAACCTTTCTTGGTTCCACTTGAAGAAGAGCCATCAAGGGTCCTAGCCTTGGTACCCTTCGAAGAGCTCTTCCTCTTCTTCCCTCGACCTTTCCCGATTGCCAAAACCGGGGCGGAGTTTGGAGTAGGAGTGTTAACAACCGACTTACCCTTAAGACCTGTTTCTGCGGTCTTGAGGAGTCCCTGAAGTTTGCTGAGTGTGACCTCTTCCTTATTCATGTGATATGTCATGCGGAATTGATCATAGCACGATGGTAAGGAGTGCAAAATGATATCTATTGCAAGCTCCTCAGGGAAGTTCACATTAAGCTTCAGCAACCGATCCACATACCTTTGCATTTTCTGCATGTGGCTCGTGACGGATTCCCCGTCCTTCATCATGGTTGTTATGATAGAGCATATGATTTCATACCTCTCTTGTCGTGCACTTTGATGGTATCTTTCCATCAGATCTTGGTGCATTTCAAAAGGGTAGAAGTCCTCATAGGACTTTTGGAGTTCCGCTGTCATGGTGGCCAACATGATGCATGCCACTTTTGTAGCATCCCTTTCATGTGCCCGGAAGTCAGCGATCTCCTGGGGAGTTGCAGTGGTCTCATCAATCTCCTTAAGCTCCTTGTCAAGGACATATTCTTTTTCCTCGTAGCGGGTAATCATCCTGATGTTTCTGATCCATTCATTGAAGTTGGATCCATCAAAAGTGACTTTCCCACACAAGTTCATAAGGGTAAAGGAGCCATTAGGATTAGAGCCAGAAGCAGCATTGTTTGAAGACATCTGAAAGAAGAGAACAAGATTAGTTTAGATATTAAGAGAGTCCTTAATAAAACACCCAAATGTAATATTAAGGCTAGAATCCAATCACAATATATTATAACTTAGAAGAGGTATGCCGTAATCCAAGCTATAACATATTTGAAAGGTAGGTGAATGACGATTCACCAATTTCCACCATGAAAAACGAAATATAGATATTAGGTTTTTAATTGGTTCTTAGAAATTCCTAGATTCTTTTGAGATTCAATGAACTTTTCAAAGGCATGTTTCAATCTCGAGTGTGCCCTCCAAGTTTTGTGACTGGGATACCGAGGATCACAAAACGAGGTGTGAAGTAACCATGCAAATCACTTGGTACACTCAATGTTTATTACTCAATCGATGTGCCGGTTAACCACACGAGCTCCACCGACCTATAATAAACTTTAAGTCACCCTTTACCTACCTTGTTAAGTCCAAGTTAGTGTGCCGGTTAACCACACGAGCTCCACTAACGACTTAAACAAAGTGTAAAGTGTAATTTCATGGATTAGCACCTTATTCACATTTTCCTAAAGTAACTAAGATTGAGAATTTAATAAAAGCATTTAGTTACTTTATAATATTCATCATACTTTTAATGAGAATTTATAAGTCCTTGTCCTACCCGTTCGGCTAACGACCCTCCACCGATCAAGGAAGCGGTGGGTGAGAGTGGACACCCATTAAGTTGCCATTTTATAGGCAACAACCTTATACCCCCCTTATAGACCGGCTTCGTGAATGAGGCGTACTAGCAGTAAGACGACTTGACGTTATACATATATATATTAGTAACTTATAATATTATAAAGTATAAGGGTTGAATTTTAACTTTTAAAATTCTAAGGGTTGGAACTAAAGTTTTAATCAAGACTTTACATGTTCCAAAACTTGAGGGCAAGCTTTGTAAACTTCCAAAACTTTTCATTTCTTATAACTTATGAATTAATTGAGTAATAAAAATGAAGACTCTTCATTTTTATAACTCTTGTGTTCTTTTAATGGCTTTAATAAAAGTGAGACTTTTGGTTTTCCATAACTTGAGGACAAGTTATGGACTCCATTAAAACACATTATGATCATGAATTAAACTACCATGAAGGTTACAAACAATTCCTATGATCATCTAATCTTCATAAGTTCAAGAACATGAATATGAACACTTTCAAGAATCAAAAATTACACTTAAAAAAACTTGTAATTTTAATAATTGCCATTGTAAATGGATTAGCATAAACATTACACCATCTAAAACAAGCTTTAAAACATCAAAACAGTTTAGGGTAATGTTTCTAGTCCATTTTCAGCAACAAATGTGCAAACTTTCATACGAGCAGAAAACAGAAAAACGATTTTTTTTCAAGCTGTTTGCACACAAAAAAAACAACAAACAAACCTAGGCTCTGATACCACTGATGGGTTTTGAGCATTCTAACACTTCCTAAGTGTACATGCAACCCTAATAACCTTGGATCTATGTTTGTCTAATTATCATGCAAAGTTGAATTCCAAGGTTATATTCCTATCTAGCATACATGGGGAACATTTTTAACTTGAATGAAAGATAGAATAACTTACCTTGTTGTTGATTATGATCCTTGAAACCTTGTGAGCCTAGCACCCCAAGTGTGATGCCTCAAATGCTTCACACAACACCAAATGCAAAGGAGTAAACTTTGAGAGAATCTTACACTTGCAAAATCGGCTCTAGCCCTCTTGTTTCTTAGTGTCGCCGATTTTGGTGGAGAACATGTTGCTTATATAGTGTGTCACATCTAGGGTTACACCATGTAAACCCTAATGTGACATGACTCTTCATTTCCATGACCCATGGGTTTGTAACTCCCATGGAGCCTCCATGGAGCATTCAATGGGTTTAACCCAACTTGATTATCCATGGAGCCTTTTAGCCCACTATACAAGTTATGGATGATTTACATGATCAACCCATATATTTAATTAGTCATCTTTTGATCACTTAATTAATCCTAGATTAATTCTTGATCAATACTAATTAAATAATACTATTAATATATTAGAACTTATAATATATTAATAAACCACAAGTGTTATTTCTCTCATTTAGTCTATCCAAATGCATGATGCCATGCAACCCAAATGGACCATGCCGGGTCGGGTCAAGTACATACCAAAAATAGTTATGGACTTAGACACCTTATCCAACAAGACATACCAAGCCATTGCCCCTGTCAATGTCCAGATCATCCCTAAGAAGCTCAATAAACCATGTCCAATTATCTTTATTTTCAATATCCACAACAGCCCAAGCTATTGGGTACACTTGTACGTCTTCTTGATATCAACTATCAACTCCCTAAGTTTCAACTTGGGTTTGTTGGCAATCTCAGTAATGTAATGTCTGCCTATCCATTCAGGGGTAACCATGGCTCCAAATTTGAACTTTCTACCACATACATGAGTCTGTACCAACTTTTTACTTGAACTGTTTATCATTGTACATCCACCCCGGCATACAGTCTAAAAGGACACTGATTCTCCTTCTCCTTTCTGACCCCTCTTTCCACATCTCACTACTAACCTTGTGCTGTCACATTTATCATAATACAGCCCATATCTGTTTGCCACTGCATAGTTTTGAATACAAAACTTTAGTTGTGCCATAGACTCAAACATGTCACCTAACTTGGGTTCCATAAGATCCCATCTTGTATTTGGATCATGAATTCTGTGATTTTTTCCTTACTCCACTTTCTTCGACAACCTCTTCATCACTTTGCCAGTCACCAGCATGATAAACTTGTGCTCTAACCCTCATCAGCTTTGCTAGAAGGGCGTAGATTATCATCACTAAGAAGTACATTCAGAAAAGAATCCTTACATTTGTTCAGGAGGAGAGAATTCGTTCTGAGGTTCATGATCCATGTAGATACTGTGCAGCTCGAAATCCATCTCACTCAGGCCTGCGAATGGCTCGTACAAACCACCAAAGACATCGTTTGAGAAATCCATCGCCTTCGTTGAGAATTCCAACTGATTTTGGTGTTCAGTAACGTCGCATCCGTTTAAATTTGAGAGTAATTTTTGGTGTGAGTAAATTAGGGTTCACAATTAGTTTAGCATGTATTGAGAGTAACAGAGGGTGATACGGGATAAATGGGGGGAAGCGGCTGATCCTTCTTCCCGCTCATTGTGGTTACCGGCACGTGGCCTCCTATTTAAGTGAGAATCACCGGTTACAAACATGTTTATCAGGTAATAGGGCAATTACGACACAAAGTAGACAACTACCTGGTTTCTCTGGACCTAAATTGTGGCCAGGGGTTAAACTGAACATTTTAGACAATCTCGAGGGTTTTTATGCCATTTGGCCTTGTTTTCTTACATGTTTGGTCTAGATCCAAACAAACCAAGTAGGGATTCAAATTTTGGAGAAAAAACTCCACAAGAAAACAGGATACGAGTCATACGACTGGGTGTCGAACGAACCAAATAGAATTCAGAATACGTGCCTCTTCAGATGAATCACATGATCATCAACTAACAATTAGGGTTTAAAGAAACCCCAACTTTATCAAGGGTTCAAGCTAACAATTGCCGAGCTGTGGTGAAACCAAAATTGTTATGATTGGACTCTGATTGACCTGAAGAACAGAGGATTTTGAATATGGAAATTGTGAAGTTTTTATTTTAAGAGAGAGAGAGAGAGAGAGAAGAGAGAGAGAGAGAGAGAGAGAGAGATCACGGGTTTCAGTTCATATGCTGTTCTGAAGCATTTGATCGAAAAACATAAAGTCAACAAACAACAATGGCGAGATGGTCCGGCGGTTTTAGATGCTTGCTTCTTCTCGTTGCAATCGCCTTCATCTATACCCAGGTGAAATGTTGCTATCAGTTGCAATTTCTTTCGTTTTCTATGTTATTTCAGTTTGTGTTGAACTTCTGCTGCATTGTGATTCAAATTTATTGAATTTCTTAATATCTAAAATCTATGATCCAACTTTCTCCAGTATATGAGGACCTAGTAGTTACACAGGCAAGAAGCCTGTTAGATACATAACAGCAAACGATTGATAAAAGACGCTATAAAATTTGATTTACTTCAAAATGCTTTTCTAGGCATACAATACAACTGTCCTTTATGCTCGCTATTTTCAAAATGAATTGGTCAAAAAATTTACCTAATTATACTAATTTCATCCAAATGGAAAGCAAATTTCAATTCCATAATTCATAGATTGAAGTACAATGCAATATTTGAAAGAAACGAAAGCAGGATGCTTTAATGCACAAATAAATGAAAGAAGTTTGCTATTTTTGCATTTAGCCCTAAAACTTGTTTTGTTTTTATGTCACAACAGGTGAGGCTGTTTAAGGCCCAATCTGAGTATGCAGACAAAATTGCAGTTGCAGTAAGTATTATATCATACAACACTGTTTCCCTTATGATTTTTTTCCTTCCATTTGTCATTTTCTCAAATACTCTTTTACCATCATTTATTCAGACAACATTTTATCCATAGTCATACAACTTAATGGGAAAAAATAACAGTTCCTTATTTAAGGGGATTCTGTAGGAATTAAGTTTTAGAGTTGATAATCGCAAACACATGCATAATCTTGAGTACCAGGTTTATCGATTTAACTACTTACCTATTTTCTGTATTGATTAAACCATTTTACCTATTTTGATTTTTCCCGGTTATCTGATTTTGAAAAAAAAAAGGAAAAATACAGAAAGCACAATGTACTTTCACTGTTTTATCGATTTAGCAATTGAACTATTTTTTTTTTTATGATTATTATAATAATGGCTCAGTGTTTAAATTGAAAATTTTAAATAACAGGTGGAAGGGGAAAATCATTGTACAAGCCAGATGCGGTTTTTGATTGATGAGATAAGTATGCAGAAACAAAAGGTGGTGGTTTTGGAAGGTAATTATGGTGGTTAGGGGTTTTCAAAATCCATAATTTTAACATATACATCCTTTTTCATTTGGAAAGAAAAAGGATTCAATTCATATCCAGCCTTCTTCATCTTTTACTTGTATTTTCAGAAAAAGTGAGACGCCAAGAAGAGGAGTGTGAGCAATTGAGGACACTTGTTCAAAATCTTGAAAGTAAGTCCAAATCATCAAAAGTGTCTCTTATTTCTATATATTTAGGCATTGCTTCTTTTTTACTTAATGGGCTTAATCTGGCAAGCTATATATGGGTGTTCCTTTTGACTTAATACAGAGAGAATGGCTTAAAACTTAATAGAGAAAGTCAGAGATTTTTTCTTTCCATTTCCCCAAGTGTGTTGTCGTTTTCTCAATTTTTTTAAACAACATTTCATCTGAACAACAGTTGATGCAATTTGTAGGGAAAGGAGTGAAAAGCTTGTTTGAACAAGTAAAGGCACCAGTTGCAGCTGTTGTTATTATGGCTTGCAATCGTGCTGACTATCTAGAAAGGACTATCAACTCTATTTTTAAGTAAGTGGTTCTATTTTTATTTTTTGAGGGCTAAATGCAAGATATAGAAACATACATTCATTCATTTGTTCATTATAACATCCTATTTCATTCTACTTCCAATTTCCTTTTCCTATTGAGGCATTGTACTTTGAAAAACTTACCTAATTTTAGTTTTTTTTTTTTTTTTTCTTATCTAAGACATTGTATTTTGAAAAGTCTACCCAATTATATCAGTGAAAATTGCTTTGTTTTGGATGACATTGCTATAGTAAAAAAAGAAATGAAAGTACATCGCCATTTCTTGTATTTAACCCTATTTTTGGTGTACTTCATTTGAGCATTTATTGTCTAATTATTTGGCCCAACTTGTCATGATTTGAACTGTTAAATCCATCCTTAAGTATGTTTTTAAGGGCTAAATGCAAAAAAAAAAAGCAACATACTTTCATTTACTTGTTTATTATAGCATCCTACTTTCCTTTCTTTTTATTGCAACATCGTGCTTTCACATTTATTGTATTAAGGCATGGTACTTTACCTATTTTTAGTTTTTCCTTTTTCTATGACATTGTATTTTGAAAAATCTACCAAATTATAGCAGTTAATTTCTTTGTATTTAGATGACATTGCTATAATTGGGTAGAATTTTCAAAGAAGAATGATGTAATAGGATGAAATGAAAGTAGGATGCTATAATAAACTAATAAATGAAACCACATTACCATTTCTTGCATTTAACCCTGTTGTAATGCAAGTCAACTTTGCATCTGTTGACTAATTATTTGGCCCAACTCTTCATAATTTCAGGTATCATGGCACTGTTGCATCAAAATTTCCGGTTTTTGTATCCCAGGTATATTGCATTTTGATGTTATTATGAAAGAGGCTAAACTCTCTCTCTCTCTCTCTCTGTATATGTATATATATATATATATATATATATATATATATATATATATATATAAATTTTAACATTTTCAGGATGGGTCAAATTCTGATGTTAGAACAAAGGCTATGAGTTACAATCAGTTGACCTACATGCAGGTAGATCTTTGTCATCATTATTATTAATATTTTTCCCATTAATTGTTATCTGGATAAAAGATGTATGATAATTTTTTTTTGAGAAAATGACACATACTTGGGGAAATGGAAGGAGAAAACAGATGGGGGTAAATTCGTTAAAAGTTAGGACATAATGATCAAAGCTTCATTTTTCCAGACTTAATTTATTAAGTTGTTCTTTGTGCATTAAGTGAAATACCCTATTAAATCCTCTCCCATTAACTCCATTAAGTAAAGAAAATATATAGTACTCAAGTCTTAATTAAAGAGCAATATTATTGGTAACAATTGTCTACCAATAATAGGAATATATGTTGTTTTTTTTTCTATACTAGCAAAATACTTACATTTCTCTACCAATATGGGCAATGTACTTTGTTTACTAGTTACTAGTTACATATTGCTATTATGGTAAAAAAAAAATGTAAGTATGTTGTTATTATGGATAATAAATTGTAAATCCTTTGCTATTACACATAAAAAATGTAATTACATTGCTATTATGGGTAAAAAATATAAGTGTGTTGCTATTATGGGAAATCAACTCCAATTTTTTTAAATATCATTGTTGCAGCACTTGGATTATGAACCTGTGGATACTGAAAGGCCTGGGGAATTAATTGCATATTACAAGATTGCACGTAAGAATGTTTTTACCTCAATTCCATTTCTATATATTTTCAAGAATGTCTTTTTTTTTTTTTTTTTTTTTAAACTCTCATATTTTCAGGCCACTACAAATGGGCACTGGATCAATTGTTTTACAAACATAATTTTAATCGGGTCATCATACTTGAAGGTACTTTTTAGCATTCTACTTTCATTTCTTCTTATTACAACATTATAAAATATAACCATTATAGCAATGGGTAACCGGATTAAAAGGTAGCAGGTTGATTCTTCGGTTGAATCTATTTCCCTTTGATCTGTTCTAAAGCTCTTAGAAGTTGAAAGTCAAAAAGACTTGAGATTATATAAATCCTTATGTGATGCAGATGATATGGAGATCTCTCCTGACTTTTTTGATTATTTTGAGGCTGGAGCAGACCTCCTTGACAAAGATAGGTAAGTCTTTGGTATGAACTGGAATGACATATATATGATATATTATCTATAAATATTGGGTAATATAAAAAATAATAATAATAACTATGTATTTTCATCGATTTGTTTATCATAGCATCATCCTCTCATTTATTTCTGTTACAACATTGTACTATGAAGAATCTACCCAATTATAGCAATGTCAAATACAAATCAGTTTTCAGAGATATAATTAGGTAGATTTTTTCAGTGCTAGAAATAGAATTGGGTAGCTTTTTCAGAGGATAAGACAAAATATCAAAAGTAGGATGCTATAAAAAAAAGTAGTAAAAAGAAATAAAAGTAGGATGCTATAATACACAAGTTATTAAAAGCGTGTTGCTATTTTTGCATTTAGCTTTTAATTTTTTTTCAATGTTGAGAAGTTGTTATCTTTTAAACCATGATATTGATAGGTCCATCATGGCTATCTCCTCATGGAATGACAATGGGCAAAAGCAATTTGTGCATGATCCTTGTAAGTCTATAACTTTCATCATAAATAATAAACCATGGGTGGGACCTACATAGAAGCCAGGGTGTATGTACATAACACCTGTGCATACCTTAAAGAAAGTTTTTGTAGTTCATAGTACATTGGTTTCTTCTTTTTTATCATTTAAATTTTATAATTTATTGTCTTAACAAGAACATAACAAAGGAGTGAAATTAAATTCCATTTTGGTGAATCTTGCAGATGCATTATATCGTTCAGATTTCTTTCCTGGGCTTGGATGGATGCTATCTAAACCTACATGGGATGAGTTATCTCCAAAGTGGCCAAAAGCATATCCTTTTATAAATTCTTATTTGCATTTTCTGCTTGTCATTTCAACACACTTTTTCTTTGACTACTTATTACTTACTGGGATGATTGGCTGAGATTACAAGAAAATCACAAAGGGCGACAGTTTATTCGTCCTGAAATTTGCAGAACATACAACTTTGGTGAGCATGTACGTATCACATCTCAATTTTAAATGAAAATTACTTAAAATACCACTGTATCTTGCTCTTGCTAATTACAAATTGCATATAATATCTATTCAGGGTTCTAGTTTGGGCCAGTTCTTCAATCAATACCTGAAACCTATTAGGCTGAATGATGTCACCGTATGTAATTTTTTTTTTTTTTTTTTTTTTACATTATTGGCATGTATGCATATTAATAATTACTTTTTTTTTTTTTTTTTTTTTTTTTGTGTGTGAAAGATTGATTGGAAAAAGATGAACTTGACATACTTAATGGAGGTATGCAAGTTATGATATAATTGATGATTCATTTAGGTAGAGTTTGGTATGATGGTGATTTCTAATGACAAATTGACTATTTCTTTCTTTGTAGGATAAATATGTAAACCATTTTGCAAACATGGTGAAAGATGCAAAGCCTCTTTATGAACCTAATCTTGTTCTAAAGACAAACAATGTAGATGGAGATGTGCGTATACAATATACAGATCAAACAGATTTTGAAGACATTGCTCGCCAATTTGGCATTTTTGAAGAATGGAAGGTATCCTCCTCTATCTCACATTATTTCTTCCAAATAAGATGTTAGGAAAAATATATAATGGTTTGTTTAATCACTACACAACGAATTTTTTTTATATAATTAACTCATGTTTCTTATATTGTTAAGGATGGTATACCAAGAACTGCTTATAAGGGAGTTGTTGTTTTCCGATACAAAACAATAAGGCGAATATTCCTGGTGGGCCCACATTCCTTGGAACAGCTAGGGATTCAAAACGATTAGTGTAATATGATGTGAGTGTGCCCATGTCTTTTTTTTTTTTTTCTATAATTCTAATATATTTAGGGTTAATGCAAAAGAAAGCAACGTACTCATATAATGTAAATTGTAATCATCCATTCCATTACCTAATATTCTGTTACCCTATCCATGTCCATTCTCCATTCTATTCCTTGTGTGATTCCAGTTTTGTGGTGCAGATTGAAAAAATTGCTTTAGACCATCTCTTTCTCCACAAGACGCAGAATCAAACACACATAAACATATTTATTATATTTGTAGAGAGAGGTACATTGTACACAAACACAATCTTTCTAATTTGTAACATTTATTTTATTTGCTCTCATAAAACAGCTAGATTGATCCAATCCTTTCATTTTGAAATGTATGATTTCTTTTTCCTATGTATCACATTCATTAATTCTGAGAAAACCATTTATCATTCCAAGTTTGTAAATACTAAATATCTAACTCAGATTGCCCAATGAGACATATCTATGACATGCATTCCAAATTTCTGATGTATTAATTCATTTGTTTCTAGTTGAGGCCTCGAAAGAATAAACTAACACCACACCCAATAGAAATCGAATCTAGAAAAAGAAGATTCCACTCAACCCCGCAAACACAACTTGAAAAATCTAAAGCCAAAAAGGACAGGGATATTTTCGTCATTCATCCCTACTCAAATTTCAAAATTTCTACTTTCACTTCATCATTCCCAAAAAAAACCTGTCAGCTGTCACCAGCCCATTTTCCTTACCCTCTTTATAAATTCCTATGTTTCTCCCCACCCTATTTTCATCTCATAACAAAATGTCCATTCTACCCCTCACTCTCACCTTCTTCTCTCTCGTCTTCCTCGCATCTTCTGTTCTTCCTGCCTCTGTTGTTAACCCTAAACTTCCACACGATGCTTTCACCACTTCCAAGAGATTTGAGGGGTCGTCGGACCTCGTCAACCTCCGGTACCATATGGGTCCGGTCCTTTCTTCTCCGATCAACATCTACCTCATCTGGTATGGTAAATGGCTTCCAGCTCAAAAGCTATTGATCAAAGACTTTCTACTATCAATATCCACCACCAAACGCCGTGCTGCCTCCGCCCCCTCCGTCTCCGACTGGTGGAAAACCGTAACGCTCTACACTGACCAAACCAACGCCAACATCTCCAGCGAAATCCTAATCGCCGGAGAATATTCCGATCGGAAATACACCCATGGAACTCACCTCACCCGTCTCACCATGCAAGACGTCATCGCCACCTCCGTTCAATCAGCTCCGTTTACAGTCGATCACAAAAACGGAGTTTACTTAATTCTCACTTCCGACGATGTCACCGTACAAGATTTTTGCCGTGCCGTCTGTGGGTTTCACTACTTCACGTTCCCGTCGAAAGTAGGATACACCTTACCCTACGCATGGGTTGGGAATTCCGGTAAACAGTGCCCGGAGGTCTGTGCTTACCCGTTTGCCGTTCCGGGGTACATGGGTAACGGCGGGCCGCGTTCCCTTGCACCGCCGAATGGTGACGTCGGGGTTGACGGAATGATCAGCGTCATCGGTCACGAGCTGGCGGAGCTGGCGTCAAACCCATTGGTGAACGCTTGGTATGCCGGTGAAGATCCGACAGCGCCGACTGAGATTGGGGATTTGTGTGAAGGGTTATATGGGTCGGGTGGTGGAGGCGGGTACATTGGTCAGGTGATGAAAGACGGGTCGGGTCGGACTTTTAATATGAACGGTAGAAGACGTAGAAAGTTTTTGGTACAGTGGATATGGAGCCCCGTTTTGAAAGCATGTGCTGGACCTAATGCTTTGGATTGATTGTACTGTGTGTTGTGAGGGTGGTACTTATTTGTTAAGAATGTCAAAGGAGCAGAATGGTGGAAGTTAGAGAGGCCTTGGGCAGAATTTTGTTTTTTATTTTATTTTTTGATTTTTATAGTTAGATTATGAAGTCATTAGATTTTTATAAACTGTTTTTAATAATATTGTTACAAAGATATATGTATATAAAACTGATAAATTGGTTACTGAGTTTTTATTCTTTTCATATGATTATCTTAGTTTGAACATGAGATCTTATTTATGGAGTGGTTCAAGTGCCATTTGGTTATTATTTTAGGTTAGGTAATTGAAATTTATATAAACATTTTTATTTTGAACTTCTGGGTTTTAGAGATCTGAAGGGTTTTTTGGTGGGTTCGGTAGAAACGAGATTTGTTTGTGAGTTCATAAGAAACAAAAACTCATGTTCAAGAATTGATTCTTCAAAACCTCATATAAATTTCAATTACCAAACCTAAAATAACCAAGAACTCATGTTGGTGGGAGACTCACGAGAGAAAATCATCAGAGAGTTCTCGAAGATGCCAAACTCAACTGGGTAACGTGAGCACCAAAAATAAGTTTATTAATAAATGATGTAAAACAGATGATTCTAATGACCAAAAACAAGTTTAATAGTAAATGATATATAAAAAATGATTAAATCTTAACAAAAGCGGGATTACTCTTATAAATCGGTATCTTTTTTAAGGTTAGATGGTTGGGATTTACGATTTACAAAGAATGTTAATTTTAAAGTTTTAATTTGTTTTCTTTTGTGTTTATTAAACTAATTACAAATCATTTTTTAATGGATACAAATTAGAAATAATATGCAATATAGTAAGAGAGATTTTGGGATACCCTTATTTAAAACAACTTGTTATCTTTTTGGAAAACTGTTAATTTGTTTATCAGGTATCAAAACGGAATTTAAAAAAAGAATATTTTGATTAATTAATATCGTAGTAAAACGTAATAACTTGAGAAGTTACTTTTAGACTGTATTTGGTATAGATAAGCTAGTTTATTTTTGGAGTTTATTTGTAACATCCTGTTTCGAGTCGTTTTCTTAATTCGGAGCCGTGACTCAAAGATCAATTATCATAAGGCTTCGGTCTTTGAGGAAAGAGAGGTTTAGATCCATTTGGATGTGTGTAATGTAGATTATGTGATCCAAGAGTTCGGTTTGTGCTTTGGAGCCCAAGGGGATAATGGTAAAAGTGATGGTTCAGACCTTTCATGAATTAAGGATTTAAGTTCATAAGGTTGTGAGGCAAAAGAGAGAGTTGATAGGAGTGTAAGGCTTCTCATTACCTTTCCGAGCATATAAAGAATGTCGAAATCGAAATCAGGACGAAGAAGTTATGGCTTTCGGAAGACCCGGTATAGCCTTGAGCTGACGTATATGTATGGTATGCGGTATTTTGGGGAACTCGCTAAGCTTTGTGCTTACGGTTTCATATTTATGGTTTCAGATACTTCCGGTTCGAAAGGGAATGACTCGGCGTGACTGCACAACATCCCCCAGAGTTTATTCTGCATTTGATTAATCGTAATTTTTACTCTGATGATTAATACTATTTTTTTTACTACGAATGATTTTGGGAATGGAATGTTATATGAATTAATGTTATTAAAATGAAAAAATTTCTCTGAATTTTCGGGACGTTACATTATTGCAATTTAGGCTATGTTTTGTGGTAGTTGATAGCTAAAAAGTAGCTGCTAGTTGATAATTTAGCTGGTAAATCATAACATTTGATAAAACTATTTGATAAGCTAGTTGAAATATACGAAATGATATGTAGAAAATTCGAGTTTTTTTATATAATTAATAAGTGTATATTTGAGATAAAAAACGAACTCGATAAAATCGTTGAAACACTAGTTTGAGTACCTTTTGAAAAAGTTGGTGGTTATATATATATATATATATATATATATATATATATATATATATATATATATATATATATATATTTCATGACAACCTAAAAAAACTTAAAATATAAGTTAGTTGTATCATTTTACACGTAATCTTAGTGTTTGGTGAGACCAACAAAATAACTCACTGTAGCTTACAAACTATAGCTTTGGTAAATTATTTACGATAACTTATTAATAAGGTAGTTTATCATCTAGAGTGCAAACACATCCCTAGTGTTTGGCAAAGTCTCGTTATAAATGTAATGATGAAATAACTTATCAAACCACATTACTTAAGTCAATAATCATATAAATAATCAAAGCTATACAAATCGATTATTTTTCATATTAATAATCACATAAACAGAAGTAGAATTTGTTTAAAATGATTATGACAATTTCAAATTGTAATAATTAGTTCAAAAGCACACATCCGAAAAACCCTTCAACGATAAACGAATTAGAGTCAAACTTAACCGAGTTCTAATCTTTCTCCAATTAAATTCGTGCTGCATCTAAAACACTAGTCGAGTTATCGAATTAAAATTGAGCTTAGCCTAGTATTGTTTTGTAACATCCCATTTTTCGAGTCCAAAAATTTCGTTTTCAAAACATTATTAGAGTCATCAACCATCCAAAATCATAAGTAAAATCATAATCGTGTATCATAAACATCATAGTATCTGTCTCAGATCAAATCTCATATCCAAATATCAGAGTCTAGCTCCCAGGCTAAAGACTGTGGTGTGTGTCATGCGATCATCCCGAGCCCTTCCCAGTGCTAGTGGAAGTACCTGAAACCAAAACTGAAAACAGTAAGCACAAAGCTTAGTGAGTCTCCCCAATCTACCACATACCATCTACACATAGCATGTAACTAGGAGATACGGGACACGCCCACACTCGTGGAGATACGGGCCTCACCCACACTTCGCTATCTAGGAGATACGGTCCTCGCCCACACTCCACTGTCTAGGAGATACGGGCCTCGTCCACACTCCACTGTCTAGGAGATACGGGCCTCGCCCACACTCCACTATCTCTGAGGTACGGGCCTCGCCCATGCTCAGCTACTTCGAGATACGGGCCTCGCCCACACTTGACTATTATGAGGTACGGGCCTCGCCCACACTCAACTACTAAACCCAACATACAAGTATCACACAGACAACATGTAAAGCTAATCTACTGCTCATTCATCATATTTAACTACTACTATGAGATAAGGGCCTCGCCCACGCTCTGCTAGGATAGGATACGGGCCCCGCCCACACTCAGCTACTATCATATCACACTACAGGCCGACCTTGGTGCCGTAGACCCGTTCCTACTGAAGAAGAACTCACCTCGTATAACTGGCTGCTGATATCCCGAGTGAGAAATCCCTGTCCGCTGCTCCGGCGACTCCCCGGCTACAATCACATAACATTCTGAATCAACTGATGATTCCTCATGGAGTAAATGACCAATTTACCCCTCTGGTCAAAGTCAAAGTCCTGGTCAGAGTCAACTTCCAGGTTGACTCTACTCGCCGAGTCCTACTATGGACTCGCCGAGTTTCCTAACTCACAATTCTCTAACTCGCGACTCGACTCGCCGAGTCGGGGCGTAGACTCGTCGAGTCCTTCTACTTTCAGATCCTTGTCTAACTCACTGAGTCCTCTTCCACTCACGGATTCAACTCGCAACTCTCAAATCGGAGAAATCGGGAGTTTGCACTCCTACTCGCCGAGTCCAATGAACGACTCGTCGAGTCCTATGCATGTCTTCACTAAACAGTTGATTCTAATCGATTCCAGTGCATCAAATTCATAGATCTGAGCTTCTAGGGCCGATATAACACGTAAAGTTGCCAACTTCACGTACATGCATAGAGGTATGAAGCTAAAACACTAAAATAAGCTAGAAATGGGAAGCTAGGGTTTGGAACAAGGCCTTGCTTTGCATAAAGGTAGCTACTTTGAGCTCTTGGAGCTCAATGATGTCCAGATCTATAGTTCACTACCCTAAGGGAGCTCCAATCTCGAGTTTGGACCATGAAATGTCCCAAAAGTGGCAAAACAAGCATATATGAAGATCTACTAGGAAAATAAACAAGGTAGAGGCTTTATTACCAGATGAAGTAGCAAATGGAAGCTAGTTTCTGGATCTCCTTCTTCTCATTTTCACCTTCTCTCCTTCCTTCTCTTCTACACTTCCAAGAATACACCAAAACACTCAAAATCAAGAAGGAATCACTCAACTCACCAATGGAGGGATAGGATTTTGAGGGGGAACACTCTAGAGGTGCTGGAGGCTGGGATGGGGGCTATAAGGACGTTTAAATAGGGTACAAACCCTAAGAATTAGGGTTTCATCCAGACTGGCAGACTCGCCGAGTCGGGAACTATGGACTCGTCGAGTCGCCACGCCTACTCCACGTGCTAATTCGCTGCTACTCGACGAGTTAAGGCCACTGACTCGTCGAGTAGCTTCTAAAATAAAAGAAAAATAATATTTTAAATGCATACCAGGAATGGGGTGTTACATGTTTGTTTAGTTTGAGTTCCTTTTTTTTCTCTTGTTGTCTTGTTGTCTTGTAGTTTTGCTTTTTTGTTTTTCTTAATTTTTTGAACAATTTTTTAATGATTGGTGTTACCTTTTCAAAATACAAGGAATTTGATTTAACTGCTTTGTCTTCTCTCTTCGATGGCTTGGTTCTTTTTAGGGAACTTTTTTGCTTTTATAGATTTACGTTAGTGTATATGTCGAAGCTCAGTTAAGCAATGCAATTACTTTTGGAGATATGATTGTCGATATCTACCTCTGCCTCATCTTAATGAGAGTCTCAAAGTTTTTTGTTGTTGATGTTAATGTTGCTTCTGCTATAGTCATGAAATATCTCATAGCCACTATACATGAATCAAGTATTGTGGCTCTCTCTCTCTCTCTCTGCACCATTCATTGTAGCCACTAGTCTTAAGTCTTAACATAACCCTACATAATGGCTTATTAGCTCATCATTTTTGTCCCAAATATAAAATTAGGCATCATCAACCAATAGTATTAACGATATTAAAAAATACATA